CCACATAGCCAGGATGCTACATATGCGCACATAGCCAGGATGCTAGATATACGCCACATAGCCAGGATGCTACATATACGCCACATAGCCAGGATGCTACATATACGCCACATAGCCAGGATGCTAGATATACGCCACATAGCCAGGATGCTGCTACATATGCGCCACATAGCCAGGATGCTACATATACGCGCACATAGCCAGGATGCTAGCCATAGATATGCGCCACATAGCCAGGATGCTACATATACGCCACATAGCCAGGATGCTACATATGCGCCACATAGCCAGGATGCCAGGATACATATACGCCACATAGCCAGGATGCTACATATACGCCACATAGCCAGGATGCTACATATACGCCACATAGCCAGGATGCTACATATACGCACATACGCCACATAGCCAGGATGCTACATATACGCCACATAGCCAGGATGCTACATATACGCCACATAGCCAGGATGCTACATATACGCCACATAGCCAGGATGCTACATATACGCCACATAGCCAGGATGCTACATATACGCCACATAGCCAGGATGCTACATATACGCCACATAGCCAGGATGCTACATATACGCCACATAGCCAGGATGCTACATATACGCCACATAGCCAGGATGCTACATATACGCCACATAGCCAGGATGCTACATATACGCCACATAGCCAGGATGCTACATATACGCCACATAGCCAGGATGCTACATATGCGCCACATAGCCAGGATGCTACATATACGCCACATAGCCAGGATGCTAGATATACGCCACATAGCCAGGATGCTAGATATACGCCACATAGCCAGGATGCTACATATACGCCACATAGCCAGGATGCTACATATACGCCACATAGCCAGGATGCTACATACGCCACATAGCCAGGATGCTAGATATACGCCACATAGCCAGGATGCACATATACGCCACATAGCCAGGATGCTACATATACGCCACATAGCCAGGATGCTAGATATACGCCACATAGCCAGGATGCTAGATATACGCCACATAGCCAGGATGCTACATATAAGCCACATAGCCAGGATGCTACATATAAGCCACATAGCCAGGATGCTACATATACGCCACATAGCCAGGATGTTACATATGCGCCACATAGCCAGGATGCTAGATATGCGCCACATAGCCAGGATGCTACATATGCGCCACATAGCCAGGATGCTACATATACGCCACATAGCCAGGATGCTACATATACGCCACATAGCCAGGATGCTAGATATACGCCACATAGCCAGGATGCTAGATATACGCCACATAGCCAGGATGCTAGATATACGCCACATAGCCAGGATGCTACATATACGCCACATAGCCAGGATGCTAGATATACGCCACATAGCCAGGATGCTAGATATACGCCACATAGCTAGGATGCTACATATACGCCACATAGCCAGGATGCTAGATATACGCCACATAGCCAGGATGCTAGATATACGCCACATAGCCAGGATGCTAGATATACGCCACATAGCCAGGATGCTACATATACGTCACATAGCCAGGATGCTAGATATACGCCACATAGCCAGGATGCTACATATACGCCACATAGCCAGGATGCTAGATATGCGCCACATAGCCAGGATGCTAGATATACGCCACATAGCCAGGATGCTACATATGCGCCACATAGCCAGGATGCTACATATGCGCCACATAGCCAGGATGCTACATATACGCCACATAGCCAGGATGCTACTTATACGCCACATAGCCAGGATGCTACATATACGCCACATAGCCAGGATGCTAGATATACGCCACATAGCCAGGATGCTACATATGCGCCACATAGCCAGGATGCTACATATACGCCACATAGCCAGGATGCTACATATACGCCACATAGCCAGGATGCTACATATACGCCACATAGCCAGGATGCTACATATACGCCACATAGCCAGGATGCTACATATACGCCACATAGCCAGGATGCTAGATATACGCCACATAGCCAGGATGCTACATATACGCCACATAGCCAGGATGCTACATATACGCCACATAGCCAGGATGCTACATATACGCCACATAGCCAGGATGCTACATATACGCCACATAGCCAGGATGCTACATATACGCCACATAGCCAGGATGCTACATATACGCCACATAGCCAGGATGCTACATATACGCCACATAGCCAGGATGCTACATATGCGCCACATAGCCAGGATGCTAGATATGCGCCACATAGCCAGGATGCTACATATGCGCCACATAGCCAGGATGCTACATATACGCCACATAGCTAGGATGCTACATATGCGCCACATAGCCAGGATGCTACATATACGTCACATAGCCAGGATGCTACATATACGTCACATAGCCAGGATGCTAGATATACGCCACATAGGATGCTACATATACGCCACATAGGATGCTACATATACGCCACATAGCCAGGATGCTACATATACGCCACATAGGATGCTACATATACGCCACATAGCCAGGATGCTACATATACGCCACATAGCTAAGATGCTGCATATACGCCACATAGCCAGGATGCTGCATATACGCCACATAGCCAGGATGCTACATATGCGCCACATAGCCAGGATGCTACATATACGCTACATAGGATGATACATATACGCCACATAGCCAGGATGCTACATATACGCCACATAGCTAGGATGCTACATATACGCCACATAGGATGCTACATATACGCCACATAGCCAGGATGCTACATATGCGCCACATAGCCAGGATGCTACATATGCGCCACATAGCCAGGATGCTACATATGCGCCACATAGCCAGGATGCTACATACGCCACATAGCCAGGATGCTGCATATACGCCACATAGCTAGGATGCTACATATGCGCCACATAGCCAGGATGCTACATATATGCCACATAGCCAGGATGCTAGATATGCGCCACATAGCCAGGATGCTACATATACGCCACATAGCCAGGATGCTGCATATACGCCACATAGCCAGGATGCTAGATATGCGCCACATAGACAGGATGCTACATATACGCCACATAGCCAGGATGCTACATATACGCCACATAGCTAGGATGCTACATATACGCCACATAGCCAGGATGCTACATATACGCCACATAGCCAGGATGCCACAAACAGCACATAGCCATGCTACCACATACACCACATAGCCAGGTTACCACATACGCCACATAACCAGGACACTATACAGCCCACATTGCCCAGATACTGCATAGTGCCCACATAGCCAAGACACTGACTGCATAGCGCCAACATAGCTCATGATATAAGAACCCACATAACCCGGAACCTACATAGACCACATAACCCA